ATTCATATATGTAATCTAATGAACAAACCAAACTAACAAGGAAAATGGGGACAGACTCACAGATGGCGAGCAGGATGGCAGCTAGCAGGGTGGGGGAGGTGAAGGGATAGAAAGATTGAGCAAAACAAATGAAAAGAACACATGGACATGGACAACAGTGTGGTGATTTGGGGGAGGAGGTGTGTATAAAGGGGCTACATGGTAATTGAAAAAAATACAATAAAGATTAAATTTAAAAAGAGAAAACAAAAGAATCATTCTTGCATTCCAGGAGTAAATCTCACTAGGTCATGGTGTACAATCCTTTTAGCGACAACGAATTTGGCTTTCTAGTATTATGTTGAGTATTTTTGCATCAGAATATATAAGGCATATTGGTCTATAGTTCTTTTCTCAGAATGTCTTTTCTAATTTTCATATCAGAATAATGCTGATTTTCTGATTTTCATATCAGAATGAAACTCAAAGAATGATTTTGGTAGTTTCACTCTTCCTCAATTTTTTGAAAGAGTTTGATTAGTACTGGTGTTAATCTTTCTTTAAATATTTGATAGAATTCACCAGCAAAGCCATCAGGTCCTGGGCTTTTCTTTGTTGGGAAGTTTTTGATCACTGATTCAATTTCTTACAAGTTATAGATTAATTTATATAGTCTGTCCTCATGATACAGTCTTAGTAATTTTTTTTTCTCTATCAGTTCCCTGATTTCAATTCTGTGAGTTCTGCTTTGACTTGTATTATTTCTTTCTTCTGTTTCCTTTCAGCTAAAATTATTTTTCAGTTAGACCATCATGAAATCTGGCAGGTAGTATCCAGATAAATATTTTTTCCTGAGGGCAGACCTTGTTAAGATGAATAGAGTGATCTGGTGTTTTCTAACATGGTTTGTCTTTCCTTAACCAGGCCAAAAACATTAGGGGATTTTTCTGTGATATCACTCAGAGGACATGGTGAGCTCCTGGAGGCAAAACTCACAAAATTGTAGAACCCAACATTGACTGGATCCCCCTAGAGTTTATCTCTCAGGCTTGTTTAACTAACCCTCCAGCAGTTAATTAATTACAGTTCACTGTGCTGTCCTGACACTGTTTCCCATTTAAATTTTTGTTCTGCTAAATTGTGATTTTCTGCCTTCACTTATTGGTTTCTTCAGTATTGGGAGTAGCAGATTGCCCTGTGATCTCTCTTATCTTACAGACGTAAGAAGAGTTGTTTATTTTTAGTTGGTTCGACATTTTATTGTTGTTAGGGCAGAGTGTCAACTCCCAGGTTCTCACTTGGCTAAAACGTCCTGGTGTTTTATTCATTCTACAACTCTATTGATTTGACCAGAGAATTTAAAAACATTTACATTCAAAGTAGTTATTCATAGGGAAGGATTTGCTTTTGCTATTTTTGTGATTTATTTTCTGTATGTCTTATAATTTTTTTGCTCTTCATTTTCTCCCATATTTCATTCCTTTGTATTTAGCTGATTTTTGTAATGACACTTTCTAAGTTCTTGTCATTTCCTTTTGGCCATATTTTATATTTCCTTTGTGGTTGGCACAAGGGTTGCATTTCCTATCCTAGTTTTATAACAATATATTTAAAACTGGCCCTGGACAGTTTTAAGTAGCTCAGTTGGGCTGAGTGTCCTCCCAAAATGACAAGTTTATAGGTTTGATCCCTAGTCAGGGGACATACAAGTAGCAACCAATGAATGCATAAATAAAATGAAACAATAAATTGATCTCTCTCTCTCTTTCTGTCTTGTTCTCCCTTCCTGTCTCTCTAAAAAATCAATAAATTTTAAAAAACTGATAACAACTTAATTTCAATCCCATCTCCACACTTCATTACTGTGACAAATTATACCTTTATATATTGTATACCAATTCACATAGAGTTATAATTATGCTTGCGCTTTGGTCTTTCAAAGACTGTAGGAAAATTAGAAGTGGCATCATGAATGAAAATTATGATGATGCTGGGTTTTGTACAGGTGTATATATTTCTCTTTACTGAAGAACTTTATTATTTTGTGTAGGTTTGAATTACTCTCTAGCTCCCTTTAATATCAACATAAAAAATTCCTTATAGCGTTTCTTGTAGAGCAGATCTAGTGGTGAAAAACTCCTTTAGCTTTTGTTTAGCTGAGAATATCTTATTTTTCCTTATTTTTGAAGGGTAGTTTTGCCAGATATAGAGTTTTTTACTTTCCCCCCAACACTTTATCATTTAATTCTTTTCTGACCTGCAAGGTTTATGTCCCAAGTTGGGGGGACGTAATACGCCAATATTGGAATGCAGTTGGTGTATTTAAGGGAAAAAATGCCTTCTGTGTCTTTTCAGTTCCCTTTAGGGCTGGTACTCTTTACTGACTGATAATTACATCAAAATAGTGAGGGATGGCTATATCTTTAGCTATAAACCTAAGGGAATGCACAGGTAAATTACTATCCTTGAAATTAGGAAGATAGTTAATTACCAGCAATACAAATACAGCCCCTTCTCCTAATGATTCCATAAGAACCTGTCTGTGTTGGGTGTAATTCCTGTTTAGCCTCTGAGATTGCTACGTGGAAGTTGCCACATATAGAAGTTCCATTTTTAGGTTGCTTCTTTGCTCTGAATCAGTTTCTCTGTGAGCTAATTAATGTTTTTATGAAGCTGGTGAGGTAGAGAAAGTCTGTGTATTCTAAGGAAAATTTTAAAGGATGCAAAACTCCTTCAAACAACACTTTTTTTTAAAACAAATTACCTATATTCAAGGGAGAAGATATAATCCTTTGAAACAGAGAAAATGCACATTTCTCATTCTTTATGGATTAAATGTATAAAAATTTAGATTCTAGGAAACAAAGGTCTTATTTAAGGATACTATAGAAGTAAAGATTATCTCTCATTTTGACCATATTTCATCTGTAGGAATCTATTAAGGAACAAAAATATGGATACCTCATGATGTTTGGACTCAACTACAGGTTGGCATTCCTAGGGAGATGGTATCACAGAGATTATATCATGCATGTTTCGGAAATTAGTATATGTATGCATATTCACTTTACAGTTCTGTTCTCGCAGTGCTCTGTATGGTGTTTATACCACCAACATGTACTCACTGAGCACCTAATGAGTGACAGCCTCTAAGCTGGAGAGTAGGTTACAAAGTTTTCTATTGGTTATGTGATTTCACATGAATCTGTGGGGAACCTTTCTTTATGTATCAAATTTCATCTTACTTGTATCTCTTTGTCATCTTTGAATTCCAATTATATTAGATTTTAATTCATTATGTCGCAATTATCTTTCCTGATGTTTACGTGCATACATGTGGGTGTTGAAAATAGATAGATAGATGATGATGGTAGATAGATAGATATATAGATAGACAGAAGGTTTATCTATATATCAATAGCTATTCTTCTATATTCAAATTCCATGGACTGAAGTCATATATTCTTCTCATTCCAACCTAAGTGTTATTGACTCAAGAATGCTTTCTTGGATTAACCTTATTTTGATTGCTTACATTTTTACATAATTCATCCTTTCTTCCCATCTGGGGTAAGTAATTTTGCCTCACAAATTACTTGAGTAAAGTATATTAATTATTTAAAGCTAAAAATAAAAGAGCCATCTTTTCATTGTTCTGGAGTTTTTCACTATGATAAGCTCAGAAACATAAATGTAAAAACCTAGAAAATATTTCCTCAGTTAATGGTATTTGGAGAAAGTAAGTGTGTTGAATGGTTCTGAAAAGCATATGTAGAGGTAACTTTGTGTAAGTTCTTATTAGTACCTATCCTTTTTATAATGATTATAATTAGTTTGAGACACAGAAAGTAGATTTTCTTAAGAGTTACTGGCAGTACTACTTAAGTACCAAGTGCTGCCTTCATGGGAGATAGGAAAAACAGGAAATTAGTAACCAAGTTTTTCTCTACACCTGAAGCATTTGCAATGACTTAAGAGACCCCCTCTTTTTAACCCTTCAACTCCCTGCTTAATGCTCCTGTAATACTTTATCCCAGGGAATCTTTGCCATGGAGATTTGACTGTTCATTGGAACTATGGGAAGAAGTATGGGAGAAATCTGTTTTAGTCACTAACTGATTTTTCAGATATCATTAGGTCAATTTACCAGCCCAATAAATAAATTGTTGTGCATCGTATAGAATGTGGGTTTCTGGATCAAAAAGTGAAACAGTACAATTAGGATTCATCTGCATAGTAAAATTATCAAAGTCTAAAAAACTAGGGATGAGAAAGTAGTGATAGGGTTAACATTAAGAGATACATGTTCCTTGACAATTTAAAGTGATTGGTCAAAAAGAAAATAACATATGCCTACTTGAAGAGAATATGATAGAAGGAAATACTAGGAAAAAAAGAAACCAGAATATTCTATTTGTCAAATTAGTCACAGATGCAGAGGGACAAATAAAAGGCTGAAAACATATCTTGACTTAATCTTATTTCAAAAGCTATGCCAAAACCTTCAATATCATGTCTAGGCAGAGAGGAACAGGGACCATTTATTTCTATTTCCCACTTAAAATTCTTTTAAAAAATTCCTTAATATTTTCACAAGATCTCTGCTTTGGTCACTTCCAGTTATAGAAAATTCACTCATATAAGAATATTCTATGAGAACTCAAAAGAGAAGCATAACTGTTCAATATGTATGTGTTGAATTAAGTACTACTACAGACAGAATCTTTTCCTGTAAATGAAAGGACAAAGTGACCTTTAGGTACTGAAATAATATGAAATGATATAAGAATTATCTTCCTATATTTCTAAAAACAATATTTGGCATATTATTACTAATGTTATTAATCTGGTTCTAGTGACTTTAAATACTCCATATTATGAATTTGAATTGTTTTTAACAACACATCAGTAATGGCCCTTCTGAACAAAATCTCTACATTTTTTTAGCATCTGGTTGTGATCATCTTGATACAGTGACTCTGTTTTCAGAAGTACTAGCAAACATCAAAGGAAAAATCATCATGACTCCCCTCAATACTTCTCGTCCCTCTCCTGTCACCTTCTTGCTGATGGGCATCCCAGGACTAGAGCACCTGCATGTCTGGATTGGGCTTCCCTTCTGCTCCTTGTACATAGTGGCTGTGGTGGGGAACGTGACCATCCTGGCTGTGGTGAGGGCAGAGCGAAGCCTCCACGAGCCCATGTTCCTCTTTCTGTGCATGTTGTCGGTCACCGACCTCGTCCTCTCCACGTCTACGCTGCCCCGCATGCTCTGCCTCTTCTGGCTTGGAGCCCATGACATCGCCTTTGATGCCTGCTTGGCCCAAATGTTCTTCATCCACAGCTTTACTGCCATGGAATCAGGCTTCTTTTTGGCCATGGCCACTGACCGTTATGTGGCCATTTGTCACCCACTGCGCCACACCACCATTCTCACCCATGCTCACATCACTATAATGGGAATCATTGTGGTGATTCGGGGTATAGCTTTCTTTTCTCCACATCCCATCCTGCTCAAACGGCTGCCCTACTGCAGGACTCGAATAATTGCCCACACCTACTGTGAGTTCATGGCTGTGGTGAAGCTCGCCTGTGTGGACACAGGCGCCACCAAGCGTTACAGCCTCAGTATGGCTACAATCATTGGCTCGTGCGATGCCATTCTTATTGCTGTATCCTATGCCTTCATTCTGCGCTCTGTATTCCGCCTGCCAACCCGAGAAGCTAGCCTTAAGGCTTTAGGCACGTGTGGATCCCACGTCTGTGTTATTCTTGTCTTCTACTCCACAGCTGGTTTTTCCATTTTTACTCACCGTTTTGGGAAAAATGTGCCTGCACATACCCATATTTTTATTGCAAATATGTACCTTTTGGTGCCCCCTTTTCTCAACCCTATTGTGTATGGAGTAAGAACCAAGAAAATACGGGAACATGTTCTTAGGATACTAATGGTCACAGTTGCTTGATTTTAGTTGGATCAATGAAAGAGTTGATTCAAGAATAAATGCAAGTAAAAGAGATAATGGAAGGAAAATAACTGTTTTCTCTATCTATCTGTATCCGTCTAATATGACCATTCATGTTTTTATCATTGGTATGGAATATAAATAAAGAGCACCTCAATAGTGTTTAATTGTGTTGAAATATACATAACAAAATTTATCACTTTATTTTAATTGTATACCTCAGTGCAATGAATAGTCATATACTCATGCAACCAGCATCACCATCTACATCAGGACTTTTTTTAATCTTCCCCAGTTGAAACCCCATATTCATAAAACACTAATTTCCCATTCCCACTTCTTTACATCTTCTGACCAGTACCATTCTACTGCCGTCTCTATGAATTTAGGCACCCTAGGTACTTCACTTAAGTGGAATCATAACAATGTTTATCCTTTTGTGGCTGGCTATCTCAATTAACATAGTATCTTCAAGATTCACTCATGGTTTAACATGTGTTAGAAATCCTCTCTTTTCTAAAGTTATGTGAATTCATTTTTGTTCTTCCATTCATCCATCTCTACATGACATAGGATGTTTTCACCTTTAAGCTATTTTGAATGATGCTGCTATGAACATAAGTATATAAATAATCTGTTTGAATCTTTTTTTTAAAACTATTTGGGGTGTATATATCTAGAAGTGCAATTGGTGGATCAAATGGTAAATCTATGTTTAAATTTTTGAGTAAATGCCATGCCTTTTTTCTGTAGCAGATGTTCCACTTTATATTCCTCCTAGAAATGGGCAAATGCTCCTTCCATTTTTTCTAATCCACATCAATAATTGTTCTTTCCTTTCTTTCTTTTATTTTTTAAGTAATAGCCATCTTTATGGGTATTAAGTGGTATCTATTGTGGTCTTAATGGGCATTTCCCTAATAATCAGTGATATTGAGCATCTTATAATGTGCCTATTGGCCATTTGAACATTTTTTGAACAAATGTCTAAGTCCTTTGCCCATTTTTCACCCCAGTCATTTTTGTCATTATTAAGTTTTAAGAGTTTTCTGGAAATATATTGTGGATATTATCAGATTTATGGCTTGCAAATATTTTCTCTGATTCTCTGGGTTGCCTTTTCACTGTATTAATGTGCCTTGAAGTACAGCTTATTTATTTTATTTTTCTTGCTTATTTTATTTTTGTTGCTTTTGTCATATCCAAGAAATCATTATTGAACGTAATGTCATAAAATTTTCTTTTATTTTCTAATAATTTTATAGTTTTACTTCTTTCATTTAGGTCTTTGATCCATTTTTTAGTATTTTTTAATGATATAAGATAGGAGTCCAACTTTTTTCTTTTGCATGTGGATATCTGGGTTTTTTAACACCATATCTTGAAAAGACTATCTTTTCCCCATTGAATGGTCATGGAGCATTTGAAATAGAAATTACTTGAACATATTTGTGAGAGTTTACTTTTGGACTTTTTATTCTATTCCATTTGTCTATATGTCTGCCTTTTTCCTAGTACAATACTGGTTTTGTTACCACAGCTTTGAAATCATGAAGTGCAAAACACTTGATTTAGTTTTATTTTCAATATATTTTTGTATAATTGAGGGTTTCTTGAGAATTCATATAGATTTTTATATTTCTGCAAAAAATGTCATTGGAACTTTCATAGAAATTGCATTAAATCTATAGATCAGTTTGAGTAGTATTGGCATATTAACATTAAATCTTGTAACCCTTACCTTATAACCCCTACAGGATACATTTACATTATTTGTGTTTTTATTGATTTCTTTCAGTGATTTTTTGCAGTTTTAGTACTTAAGTTTATACCTATTTTATTCTTTTTAATAGTATTGTCTGTAGAATTGCTTGTGTAATTTCTTCAGATTGCTCATGGTTAGTATATAGAAAACAACTAATTCTTGCATATTAATTTTGAATCCTGCAATTTTTCTCTGTTTATTAGGTGTAGAGTGTGTGTGTGTGTGTGTGTGTGAGAGAGAGAGAGAGAGAGAAAGAAAGAGAGAGAAAGAGTGGTGGGAGAGAGAGATCTTTATAGTTTTCTATTTATAATAAGATTATTATACTTGACTTGCAGAGATAATTTTAATTTTCTTTTCCAATTTGAATGCCTTTTTTTATTTCTTGCCTAATTTTTTCAGCAAAAACTTTCAGTGTTTTGTTGAATACAAAAAGTGAAAGTGGGAATTCTTGTCTTACTCCTGATCATAGAGGAAAAGCCTTCAGTATTCACCATTTAGTGCTAAGTAGTTGTGGGTTTTTTGTATATAACATTTATTATGTTGAGATTGCTGGTGTCTTTTGATTATCTCCTTTTTAATCATTGAAAAGAGATAACTAGGAAGTCAATACTCTATCATTTCTTCAACTGAACAAATTACTGAAATCACTAGCCCTCTATTATTATGAAAAGCATCTGTATTAGTAAGAATTAAACCAGGAAATAGCACTTGTGTCTTTATTACTGAGCATCTTTAATACAGGTAATTATTTACACAAATTATAGAACTTCTAAAACAGCAAGCATTTGACAGTGAGGACTCCCAGAAATTAGAGGCTACAAAAATCCACAACAACTCTAGCCAGTGAAACATAGAAGCTACCAGTGGTTTAATCCTGTGTCAGGAATGAGTCTCCCACTAGAAGCTGAAACTGTGGAAGTGCCCTCTGGCAAAATCTGGAGCAATGGAATAGATGTAGTAAAGGAAATTTAGAAATAGGGAGAATTGTCCTAGTGTCCTCATTGGACAAGCACTGCCTAAAAAACGATGATCTGTGATCCTGGGAAACAAAGCCTCTAATGTTCACTTTTCCTGAAATATAGCACAGAAGAGAAGGATAACATATCTATAGAAAACCATCCTATCAGCTATAGATATGGACCCCTCCACATCCTCAGTGCCCCAAATCCTGGGTATCTTTTAGTTGGATGCACATGAGATTGGCTTTGGAACCTGTGTGGTCCAGATGTTTCTGATCCACACCTTCACAGGAATGGAGTCCGCTGTTCCACATGGTTTTTGACTGCTATGTGGCCATCTGTGCACCGCTCCACTACACAAGCATCCTGACAGTACACAATGCTAGTGGGCATTGGTGTGAGCATTTGAATGTGTCCAATCCTGCTCATGTTGCCCATTCTTTACCTAACTCATTGCCTGTCCATCTGTGAGGCTCAAGTGACTGCCCACTCCTACTGTGAGCACATGGATATTGCCAAATTGGCCTGCGCCAGCATTCGACTTAAGACCATTTATGGGCTTTTTGTGGATTTTTTTTTCTTATTTTGGTTGTGGCATTGATTGGAATCTCTTATACCTGTATCTTCCATGCAGTTTTCTACCTTTCATCTTAGATGCTCGTCACAAATCCCTGAGTACATGTGGGTCACATGTTGGGGTCGTGTGTGTCTTTGATACACCCTCTCTCTTCTCCTTCCTTTCTCACTGATTTAGCAAAAAAATTCCCCATTATTTTCAAATCTTTATTGCCAATCTCTATGTGGTTATCCCACCTGCTCTCACCCCTATTATCTATGGTGTGAGGACACAGCAGGTTCATGAGCGTGTGATTTGAGTTTTTGCCTCAAAGTAGGGTCTCTTATCTATGTAGATCTTGAGGGTACGACTATAGCTGAAAGAAGTTAAGTTTGACCCTAGGTTGATTACATTTTTAAATGTTCCTCATATTTAAATAACTTGCAGATCCTAAAGGAACAAACTTTGCAGGATGCTTTCTGGTCTTAAATCCCAATGGTTCCTCCTTATTGGTGTTGAGTGTTTATCCCTCTAATGTAGTATTCTATTACAGTAGGAGAAAACATCACACTGGAAACCTTCTCATTTTTAACCCTGGAGTTTTAAAGATGCTCTGTGTCTATGTATTTGGAAATAGAATAGTATTCCAAATGAGCATAATTAGTTTATGTCAACTGCCTTTTTTCCTCTGAAAAAAGATCTAAAATTGAATGGGAAATGAGAAGGTTTTGGTAGGTTTCTCAGTTATAAACTTAAATGTCTCTAATTTCTCTAAGGATCTAAATATCACTAGGATATTTAGTTTTAATCAATAGACGTTTTAATCAATGTCCTCAGTTCCTCTCTTTCATGCCAGCACCTTTTTCATTATTCTTCAGAAAGACTTGTACGCACTATATGCCCTCACTGTGCCACCACCTTCTTTTTGGGAGAAGCAAGAAGTGAAAATACCTAAAAACAATACATGTGTTAAAGAATGAAATTTCATTTATAAGAGGAGGCTTGAATCTACAGAATTCTACCAGTGGGATTTCAGGTCATGTTTAATACGTTTTTTTCCTCATATGTATCTCTGTGTGTGCATGTGTGTGTTAAATACACTAAGTTACATGGGCCACTTCTCCCTCTCCAAAGGCCTCCTTCTTTGTACAATCCATTAATATTTGAGACTTGATGTGCTGCAAAAGCAGATAAATGTCTCAAATTTAATAATATTTAAGAATAAAACACATAAAGTAAAGATTGATTTTTCACATTAATAATGATTTTAAATCTCTACCCAAAACGTGAACTTCACCTTCCATACCACACAAGATTACAACAGCAATCTTCAAGAAACTAAATTCAGTGTTCCTCGTTTAGAGAGAAGTTCACACATATTTTGAGTTGGTCTGATTGATACGATTCAGATTTGTTAATCCATAAGTAATGATGTTTTCTATTAAAATTCTGAGTCTCCCTAATATTCATTTTGTAACACTCATAGTCATAATTTTTATGTCTCTAAGCATCCACTTTTTTTTATATTTCCATGCCCTAAAAGAATGTCAGTGACAAAAGCACCAAAAATATCTTTCATTCCAGTTTCCCCTCAGATATATTTATAATATAAAGACCATAAATATACATGTATATATACAATACAAAATCAACACAAGGAAAATACAGTCCTAATACCTAAATGTCTCTATATTTATTAAGTAAATCACATCACTAATAA